TTATAGATTAGATATTTTCTTATTAAAATAATTATTTTGTTTACCATAAGCAGTTTATCTTTGTCTATTGTCATATAGCAGTTCATCACTACTATATAGTAATTTTATAATTGCATTATAATACTACACTAGCAGCTAACAAGCGGCACACCATCAAAAACTAATTTTAGCCACAAAAATTCCTATAAAACATTAATTAATAATCAATGCCTCGCATTTTGTATGAAAAAGGTTATAAATTTTACATTTATCTAAATGAGAGTCCTTTTGAACCAGCTCACGTCCATGTTCTTACTTCCGACATGAGCGGAGAAATGAAAGTCTGATTAAATGATAATTTAGATATTGCTGAATGTTATGACATTCCAACTCATGAATGAAGTAAAATCTTAAAAATTATTAAGCAACAAAAAGAATTTTTTATAAAAAAATATTATGAACTCAATAAATAGAACCACTAAAATTAAGCCTGCTAATATTGAATCTAGCATCCCATTAATTAATGCTATTGAAAGGCCACAGTCTACTATTTTACAAATAGAATGTAATAAAGAAACTATTACGGCGCATTTAAGTGATGGTCGGGTGATTGCCATTCCAACCGGCTGATATAAGGTTTTACGAGAGGCTAAATTAGACCAGTTAAAAAATGTCCGCATTATGCCCGCTAAACGGGGTATTTATTGGCCTGATTTAGAAGAGTTTTTAAGCATTAAGGCTTTTACTCATGGTTTACAGGCGGGTTGTTAAATTTTTAGTTGCATAACTGTAAAAATTTTTATAATTATAATAGTCGGATAAAACTTGCTTAAAACACGACAGATCTAAATAGTAGAGTATTATAACCTTGGATTACTAAATCTCTCCACCTTGAAATTTTTTTGTCGAGCAATGGTTAATAATTGGCTTTTTTCCCGAAGCGAATTGACAAAAGTTAAGGCTTTGCCGCTGGCTCCGGCTCGGCCTGTCCGTCCCGTCCGGTGAATATAAAATTCCCGATTTTGAGGAAAATCATAATTAATGACATAAGAAATGTCTTTAATATCCAGACCCCGCGCAGCTACGTCAGTAGCAATTAACAAAGAAATCTTTTTTGCCCGAAATTTCTGAAAAACACGGGTGCGGCGATTTTGGGATAAATCGCTATGAATATAATCAACTCTTAATTTATTGTCAAGCAAAATATTTTTAATTTCTTCGACTTTTCTTTTGGTGTTGGCAAAAACGATTACGGAATTGGACTGGTTAGCAGAGAGAAAGTTAACTAAATCGCGGTTTTTTTGCCGTCAGGAAGCTGTTTCTAGATAATAATGCTTGGTGTTGCTAGGCAAATCGTCGGTAGAACTGGTGATAAGAATGGGCTCACGAGCGAAGCGGCGAGCAAACCTTTCTACTTCCGGAGAAATGGTGGCGGAAAAAAGTAAGGTTTGGCGTTGCGTCGGGATTTTTTTCATTATTTTTTCAATTTCCGGCAAAAATCCTTTGCTAATCATTTCGTCCACTTCGTCCAGAACGACGAATTTTAGGTGATCCAGACGGAGACTTTGGCGCGTGAAAATGTGGTCGATAATTCGGCCGGGAGTTCCTACCACTAGGTCAACGCCCCGACGAAAAGCCTGTAATTGTTGGTAAATTGGTGCACCGCCGTAAACGGCTGCTACTTGTAAACTGTTATGAGGAGACAATTTACGAGCTTCTTCGCTCACTTGTAAAGCCAGTTCACGGGTGGGGACTAAAATAAGTACTTGGGGTTTATGAATTACAGTTAATTTCTCCAAAATGGGAATTAGAAAGGCGGCCGTTTTGCCGGTTCCCGTCTGGGATTGAGCGATAATATCTTGACCCGCCAACACAGGAGGAATAGTTTGTAATTGAATGTTAGTCAGTTGGCTATAGCCAGCCTGGTGCAAATTATTTTTGGTTTTTTCTGATAAGGATATATTTTCTAGATTCATTATTAAACTATTTTAATCATTTTTTATACTTCAGTTGGAATTTTTGTATAATAAAATAATATTAAGGAGAAGAAGCGAGGAAGAGACAAAATTCTCTCTCTCTCTCTCTCTCTCTGACAATACAAAAGTAATAAATTAGTAATATAAGAAAATATGGCAAAACTATTAAATATAAAATTAAGAACTAACAAAACTAGTTATAACTCCACCTCGCCAAGCAACAGAGTTATTAAATTAGTGGGTCAAGCAGAAATAACCGACCAAAGCGGAACCAAATTGGCACAAATAAAAAATAGAGGTTCGAACAAAGGGCAAATCCAAATAAACGATTTGACCGAAATCCACTTAGATTCTTCCGATTTTGACGTTCCTATTTCTTGGGCTTGAGAAAACAGGGGGGGGGGATGCTGATATTGAAGTAACTATTAAAAACGTCAAGTATGATGAAGCAGTGGGGTTACATGGAACTAGGAATTTTCTAGCCATGGGTTCTGGCTCTGCTCCTTTAAATGTTCTAGAATTAGAAAAAGACCAAGATTTTCAAGTTGAAAGTTTTAAAGACAGTGGTGGAAACATCCGACATAATTTATTTTCAGCTATCGAATTAAGTGGCGGTTTGCCAGATGTTAAAAAAATTGTTATTGAGTTTGGAGAGATAGGTTGAAAAATTTACAGTCAATCAGATAAAAAAAACGAAAGTGAGCTAGTTGATACACTTGCGAAAATTAAAAAATATAAAACGGCTACTCCTGGTTCGCTCGAGAATAAATTTTACGAACTGAAAGACATTATTACTGACGACCGAGAAGTTAAAGAAAAGATTGTCGATCCCCTTGTCAAACTCATTGAAGAAATTATTCCCGAATACAAAAAAGTCGGAGTGGGTATTTTTGATATTGATGTTGCCATGAAAAATGATTTTGATATAATTAATGATAATACTTTGAAAACACAAATTAGCGGGGGAAAGTATAAAGGATTTTCAGTCAGCCGAGCCGAGAAGTATGAGTACACGAAAGATTCTCTGGGAGCGGCGATGATAGAAAAAGGCGAACGCTACACCAAAGACAATATTGACAAGTTTCGGAAATTTTTCACTAATGACCTAGATAAAGACGACCCCAAATATTTTCGCGGTTTTCGGCCGGGAGATATTGACGAGTGAACTAGTCCAGCAGGTTTTTTTGTGGTTAATAGTCGGTATAATATAGAACAAAAAAAATCTACTGGAATAGAAATAAAAGAAGGTGAAGATTATACTCGCACTTATTATGAATTGGTTTTTTGGAAGTCCGTTGGCATTACAGTTCCCAAAATAAAAGAAATCATTTTGGATAGCGAAGTTTCTTTTAACGAAACCTTGGATAAGTCAAAAAAAGAGCATTTGTATGCCTATAAAAAAGTAATTGAAATCGAGTTTCCAACAGTTAAAAATGACCAAACTCTACTCGATTCATACCAAGAATTGACGAAATTATTCTCAGTTTTGGATAAGGCTTCTTACACGAGTGAAAGCAAGAGTACTTGCGAAAATGATTTAAGTATTCTCAAAAAATATGAAAGTCCGACCGCCAATTCCGACCAGGAGAAAATTAAGAAAAAGTTTGCGACCGAAATTAGCCAAAAGAAGCAGGAAATTAACAATCGTTTAGCGGTTCTCAACTCGGGGTCAAACTTACAAGCGGCAATAACTGCGGCTATTAATGAGGATTACGGCCAAGGTCAATTGAGCGACGAACGGAAAAAGATTTTCACAGACCATAAAGCGTCAATCACTACGGAGGCCATTCTCACCGAGATTAAAGAGTTAATTAAATTGCTGGTTCGGGCGGAAGAGAATATGGACACTGGCACCAGCAAGGATTTGCTGAATAAATTAAAAAATGAATATCAGAACGACAGCGGCGATAAAAAAACGGCTTACACGATTGTCAACCAAGTGGATAATAAATGAGTGGACCGAAAAATTACTGATTTGGAAAGCGGGCAAGAAAACCCTCTAACAAAGAA